GTGTTATTTCCCTTGGCTTCCGTGTGTTCTTAAGAGCTCCAGATCTAACAGAGATAACTGCTGAACATGAGACTAGCCGCCAGGGCCAGGTCCTCGAGGATGCAATATAACGTCACTAAACTTAACTTTAAATAAAAATAAAGGCTACGGTCCCATCCGCCCAGCTGCATCAAAGGAAGGTGCCAGAAACTCCCAATAGAACAACCTATACATGCAGGGAAGCTTGTACCCTAACCCCATTCAGAGAGTGACTGCCTAATGTCCTAAAGCAGGAAGATTCATAACTCTTATCTTTTACTCTCCCTAACCTAACTGTGGATGTTCCTTCTCAATGTCCAGTCCTCTAACTTTTGCTAAACTCATGGCCTCCACGATATCATGTGGCAGTGAGTTCCGCAGGCTAATTATGCATTGGATTAAAAGGTATGTATTAAAATGTTACCTTTTTTAATTCATTGGGCATCCCCTTGTTCCTGGGTGGCATTGACCTTCCCTGCCACTCATTATCTTGCACCCCTTTTTATAGCCCCCTCTTATTCATTCCCCTTTACACGAACTCCTATAAGGCAGTTACAGGATGAGCATAGGAAGACATGTAGGGTGGTTCCTCTGCGCAGGGCATGGCCTGCTGGCCTCCTCTGCATGCAGGAACCCACAGCCCAGTCTCTCACCTCCCAGCAGAGGGAGACTAAATCTCCTCTCCTTTCTCCTAGGAAACAAGAGCACAGAGCTGGACCACGCAGTGCTGGCCGTGGGCTATGGGGTCCTGCAAGGGGAGAGCTATTGGCTCATCAAAAACTCCTGGTCCACCTACTGGGGTAACGACGGCTACATCCTCATGTCCATGCAGGACAACAACTGCGGGGTGACGACGGCTGCAACGTACCCCATCCTGGCCTGAGCGCTGATGCTGTGTGCAGGGCCTGTTCCCCCAGCCTTGCTCAAGAGACCAGCTAGCCCTGGGGAGAGAGACCTACACAGCTGGCTTTGGCTGAGTTCCCACTAGACTCCAGCTATGTGAACCGGCTGGAGGCCTGGCAGCAACTCTCTGGCTGGGGTAGGTTGCTCCCGGAGTGTTGCTTTAATACCCACAAATCTTCAGCACCACAACGGGTCTGGTTCCCTCAAGGTCCTGTGAGATGCTGGGTGGCCTCCAAGCTGAGGGGCCCCCTGCGCCTCGCACCACCTCGGCACAGAAGCTCCGCAAGGCAGGGGCCATGCTGATGTGTGTCTATGCATCAGGCAAACCTGCCACCGTCACAGTGCTAATAACGTGTCAAGCAGGGCGGGGGGGGGATGGCAAGCCACAGACGTTGGGGGCAGAGGGAGAGCTAGGCATGCACTGATGAGTGTTGGGTAGGGAAGCCAGCACTGCTAGGATCTCTGCTACACTGCGCAGCAGAAGGCTGCTGAATGCATGGAGAGTGCCAGGACAATAAACTCTAGGGAAGAACTTTGCTGTGTCTGTGTGTTTAACGGGGTGGGAGCTGGGGGAAGCAGGGTTTAGCCGTGCCTTGCCTCTATGCTGCCCGACATTGCCCCAGGGAGCGGAGCAGGGCACCCCTCCTGCTGGGGGCAGTCGCAAGGTGGGGCACGTAGCTCTTCTGAAACTGAACAGACACAGCCTGTGAGTCTGGGTTCAAAGAAACTTTCCAGAGTTAAGAGGACTTCCTGGGCTGGGGCTGAAGTAGAGGGCTGGGTGGATCAGGTGTCCTCAACAATAGTGCAAGCAAAGAGCAATGCTCCCAGGAACACACCAGCAGAGCAGGTACAGGCTGGGTTCACCTTAAGGAAAGCCCACCCGTTATCAATTCAAGGAGCGACAGAATAAACATCCCAAGAACATTCCGGTTCTACCAAAACTACTCCCGCCCCAGCTCTACCTGCCACGGGGTCTGGTGTGTGGTGCCACCAGTGTGATGAATATCACCCAAACCTCAGCCCACCAGTGGCTGGCTTATACCTGATCTGGGACTGACCAGAACTTTGCATACAGCTCCCATAACAAGCACTGGGGCCAACCTCCTCAAAAAGGGAAGAAAAACCAATTCCCCTTCCAGCCTCCCCCAGCCTGGCCTGGCTCAGGACAGTAGATTTCTCTTTGCTCCCAGCACCTGAACTTTGCCCCAGCCCTACTTTGCCTGGCAGCGTTGCTGACATATTTCTAGTAACAAAGGAACAGTGTGAGCACAGGCTGCAGAGACAGGGAAGCGAGAAAACCAGCCAGCTGCAGTGAGGAGTCCACCCCAGAGCCCCCCTCATCCCCAAAATGCCCAGACCGACCTTCAGGCTGGTGCATGCACAGGTGAGCAAAACAAAAGGCAGCCAGGCTGTGGGCCAGTTGCTGCTGCTCTTGGAAAAACAGAAATTCCATGTTTGTTCAGTGGAAACAGACAGTCAGGGATCCTCCCCCAGCCCAGCTGTACAGATGTGTTGCAATCAATGGAGTAAAATGAGAACAAAACAGCAAGAGGCACCGAGAAGGAAGAAGTGGGGCGTGCACGGGATTTTTTCCAATACATTAGTGGGCAGTTCACAGCTTAGAATCAGTGACGGCTGTTGTATATTGGTAATGGGACAGGATCAAGCAGAAGTTTGTGCATCAGGACTCCTGGGTTCTACTCCCAGCTCTGCCACTGACTCATGCCCGGACTCTGTGTAAATCACATCAGCACTCCAGTCCTCAGTTTACCCATCTGTAAATTGGAGCTTACAGCTGATGAGATTTCTCAGGCTTGGTTAATGTTCCCAGTGGGGATCTCTGGCTGGAGCAGTAGATATTGTGCTGGCTTGGAGGAGAAGTAGCTGCAGTGAGAGCCAGCTGCCTACTCTGGTTTTGTTTCAGACCCTCCGGCAGGGCGTGAAGGGGCAGCAGGGGGATTTTGATTCACGTGGGCGGTGATGCTCTTCCCAGACCAGAAGCCACTTTGAGATGCACTTTCATTTTCTTCGGAGAGGCTGCTTGTGAGTCACTGTCGCTTTCCCTTGAACGCAAGCGAACAGGCAGAGCTGACCGTTGTGAGCGATAAGCAGCCGGCTCTATGTTCCACGCAGCCCACTGTGAAAAACACCCACGGATGCTCCGTGCTGGAGAACATGCCAGGCCCAGCAAACACACCCCAAGAAAGGGGACGGATGGTTTCATCTGCTAGGCTGGCATCATCTTTAACACAGGACAGGGGAAGGGGGGGCGGATGTTAGAAGGCAGCTCCATGGGGCTGACCCCAGGGAAGCATAGTAATCCAGTTCAGGCTCTTTCCCCTGCAGCAAGGGGTCTGACATTGCAGCTCCAGGGACACACACACATCCGCTGTCCTGCATCTTCCTCCAGCGCTCGGCTCCCTGCAACATTTGCCTCTGCAGCAGGTGAGCCCTGGAGAGAAGGGCAGTGCTACCCATGGCTACTAGACAAGCTTCTCCTACCTTCTCTGACACCTCCAGGAAGGACTGCACCATACCCCTGGAAGGAGGCTGCCCACGTGGGCCTAATTCTGATCCCCCTTGCATGGGCTTTGCACCGGTGTCACTCGAGTGACTTTAATGGAGGGGCTCATGATTTACGCTGCTGGGACCAAGAGCAAGATCAAAGCCTGCTCCCCTCTGGCCCCAGAAGGGGCTGCCTCGGTTGTGCCAGAGGGCAGCTAAAGGCAATCCCCCCAATCCCCCCAACTGGCTGGTACCATTTCCTCCCCGGCGGCTCCTCCTCCCCCCTCCCTCTGTTCTGGAAGCTCAGCCCTAGTCCAGCATCAATAACACCCCGAAACCCCCAGCACAGCAGAACTCCAGAGGGAGGGGAATTATCCCATACACTGAAGGGCTCCTTGCTCTCCCGCCATCATCACTGGAGAGGTGTGAACCCAAAGCCATGGCCCTTCAGGCTGGGAGCTCAGCTGAGTGTTTATCCAGCTCCTAGCACATTCCTGGTGGGTCCTTAGGCGCTACCTTAATAAACTCGTAACCTCTCCAAAGCCAAGCAGGGGCCGGCTGGGTAAGTGCTTGACCAGACTTCAAGGAAAGCCAGTTGCTGCAAGCAGTGAGGGGCTAGTGGTGTGGTGGTTGCTGCTCTTCCCTTTGCCTCCGTGCTGAGCCAGTCCCCTGGGGTCCTGGATCTGTGTGGTCATTCCAGATCCCCTGGCACTTTCTGCAGGGGTAGGGCTGCTAGGTCTGGTGTCCTGACCCATTTCCAGTTTGCTCTCCTAAAATATTCCTTGGACATGAGATTTCCTTCACTTCCTGTCCTAAACTCCGCTGTCAAACAGCCACCATGTTCCACCCCAGAGGTGGCTGCATGGGCTGGGTGAAGGGACGCCTGTCTATGTGGTTTGCCAAGGCCAAGGCTGTAGTGAAAGGTTCTTTACAAGTTCCAGATGTTAGATAGACAGATGCTGTCCTTGGGAATGAAAGGCACCAGAGAAATGTAATACTAACACCTCCCGGCAAACCGTCCTTTTCACAGCGGCTTTGGGAGGGAGGCAGGAAAGCATGTGTTACCCATTTTGCAGATGGGGAAAGAGAGACACCCAAGGCTTCTCAGTGAGTCAATGACAGAGCCAAAATTAGAATTCAGGTGCTCTGGGGCACCCAGTCCTGACCTCATTCCTGTGAGCCAGGCTGCTTTTCAAACAGGAATGAACTTACCAACCACCAGAATGCAGCCACCTCTGGGGTGGAGTGCAGCAGCTGTTCAACAGCATGATCAACGCCACATAACAGCTCAGGACAGGAAGTTCAGAAGAACCCTCCAGCTGCTTTTGAAAAAGCAGAGGGGATTTCGTTAGGCCGAAGTGCAAACAGAGGCTCACTGACAGCGCGATATCGCACGCCGCCCATGGCCATTTGTTTGGCTCCAGGAAGTAAGCCTGTGCCTAGCTTTCGGGAACCTCTGAGCCCAGCTCTTGCGCCACATGCTCATTGGGAAAGGCTGGCCCCCAGGCGGAACAGGCGTTACACAATACAGGTGTTTACCTGTCCTCGGGGCTCCTAGCCTGGAAAGTCAGCGGGGTACATAAGCAGCAGAGCAGTCCCGGCTCCAAGAGGCACCCCGAGGGGTAACGGTGTGGGGGCAGCAGGTCAAGATGAAGTCTTGCAGGGGCCTTCTCTGCGCCCTGGCATTCCTGATGGCTGCTGCTGCCCCCAGAGCAGGCTTTGCCCAGGAGACCGAGTCCAGCTGCTGTGCACGTGAGTAGCTGGGGAGCTGAGTCCAGGGCCGAGCTGAGAGCCCGTGGCTCCCATTGAAGTCAGCGGGGGCTGGGGGTACTCAGCACCCTTGGGGATCCCTTTGTGGGGTTTTGTTCTCCAAACTGGGGGCCAAACTCAGTCCAATGCTCATGGGCTCCAGCAGGGAGCAGGCTCTGAAGAGGAGCCGCAGTGGGACATTGCCGGGGGCAGCTGCCTTTCTGAGGAGCTCCCCGTCAGACAGGCAGGATGCTCCCCCGCCCTGAAAGGCGAGGCAAAGCCCCCTGGAGTCCATGGAAAGGACCTGACCTGAGAGGGGTTTGGATCAGAATAATGGTAAGGAGGTGGGGAGACACCCACAGCCCCAGGGGTGGGGTGGGAGGAAGCTGACCAAAGGGGTTTGTTTAAGCAATCCCAATCCTAGCTGGAGCAGACGTTCATGCACGGCTGGGTTTAGCAGTGCTCGCCTCTGTGTCAGGCTGTCAGCCTCTCCCAGTCAGCAATTAATCCCCATAGGCTGGGTTCCCTATTGCTGGTGCTGAGATGCTAGGGGACCTGGAGGGATGGGCTCTGTCTGGGGAGCACATAGACACTGCCCAGGAAGTAACTCCTTGGGGCAATGCGTGGGAGACATTTTGCCCTTGATAGCAAGTGTCCTGTCTAGAGAGTATCAGCTGTGGTCACTGTGATCTAACAGGCAGAGGATGAAGCAGGGCATCAGGACCATTCCAGCTCTAGCCTCAGAATCTCTGTGTGGCCCTGGACAAGTCACTGACTCATTCTGTACCTCAGTTTCCCCATCTGCCAAATGTGGCTAATGATACTGCTCTCCCTGAAGTCAGACACCAGCCTCATCCTCCTTGGCCTTTCTCCCTCCTCCTCAACATTTGCCCACCACAAGGAGCACCGCTACATTGATTGTGTGACTAGGTGACAGCACCCCAGCCATGTTTGTCCTGCCTCTCCCTTCCCCCCCCACGCCCCCTCTTAGTCTGGGTAGGACCCTCACCTGCTCTATGCTGTTAAATATTGCTTGGGAGCCCACTGGGGCAGGGAAAGTCTCATTACTTGGTTGGAGAGGTGCCTAGAACATCTTTTGGGGCTCAGAAAATAGCCAGAGGTGTTGTGATGAACCCATTCCCACTTTCCAGCGAGATCCAACTCTCTCCCCTCCCCCAATACAGTTTGTAGTTATTACTTTAAACTTTCTAACATTTAAAATGGGCAGATTGTCTCCTGAGTTGGGAGCTTGGTCGATGCGCACAGGCAGGGATTGATCCCCAGCTGAAATCTGACACAGGGCCCGACCCCTCCCCGGCTTCTCTATATTACTGTCCATATCAGATGAGCAGGGTGATATCTAGGGGTGAAAGCACAGGCTGGAGTCAGGAGAACTAGGGTCTATTCCTGGCTCCACCATGCGTTTGCTGTGTCATCTGGTGCCAGGCACTTAGCCTCCGTGTGTCTGGGTTTCCCTCAGTCTGCACACTGGGGGTTCAGGTTTAATTTACCCACATTTGCCAAGTGCATTGTCACCTTCTGGTGGGGGGGATGTTTAATTCTAGTCTTACAGGCGGGGGGGTGGAATCTCACCCTTGGACTATCACTCCTGACCAAGCTGCTTCCTTCCAGTCACCATGGCCAACTACACCCGTAAGCCAACGAGGGCAGAGATCTGGGCAGACTTCCCAGCCCTGACTGTTCAGTTTGGCTCTTCACGCTACCTGCCAAATCCCAGTGTCACATACTCCTTGTACATGGGAAATTGCAGGGCTCCTACCAGCAAGTCAGGCTGCGGTACCAGATATGGACAGGCTACAGCGCTTCCATCATGGAGGGAGACAAGAGATGTGTTCCCTGTAAGACACTTGAATACGCGCCCCGGTCTGCCTGGTACCAGCCCAGGTTACACCTAGTGGCTAAATGTGATCATGCAGTTTCAGCATCCCCCCAGGTGCATGAGCCTTTCCCGGGGTTACTGTTACCGCTAACTTCAGGACACCACCATCACACTGCGTGCTTGCTCCCCTCACTCCAGCCTGCTTCTCTGCCTCTTTCAGAGCTGAAGGGATTATCCCAGTGTGGAGCGGACAAGAAGATCTTTTTCCAGGGCCAGCCAGGGAACCCAGGAATGCCGGGCATGCCAGGGACAAACGGCCTACCTGGGGCTAAAGGAGATCCAGGACCTCAAGGGCCCCCAGGTGAGAGGATGCTGTCAGGACTCAGCAACCACAGCCTCAGTATAAAGCAGGCCAGAGGTTGTTCTTGCTCTGCCCGGCCCTAGTGACAGACATATGTATCCAGACAAGACAAAGAGACTGGCAGACTCCTTGTGAATGCTCAGGCCCTAACTCAGCTGACAGGCAGGTCACGGGTTCAGAGAGTCTGGGGAGCACGTTGCCAACCTGCATTTCAGAGGAGGAGAATGGAGAGCAGGAAATCAGCTCACGGGAGGCAAGCAGGACACTGCTTTGAGGAAGCTCACAGCCCTAGAACTCTGTGCCAGAGCACAGTGCTCCTCAGGGACACACACTGGGGAGTCGGAGCGGCTGGACTGAGGAGCCTATCAGGCCTTGCTAGGGAAAGCAGCTTTTAGATTTGGGTTATATTTCAGCATTTGCATGGAAAGTTTCAGACAGGTTTGCACAATCCAGGTTTGAGTTCTGCAGTGCAGTCTGAGCTCTCAGGCTTGTGTTACTATCAACACTGATCATGTGTATTACCATAGGTCAGAGCGGGAGGGGGCTGGTGGCTGTCCAGACAGTCCCTGCTCCCAAGAGCTTACACTGTGAATGGACCAGAGAGGCAGTGGGGACAGAATAATGCGCAGGAGAAATGTCAAAGAGCTGGCAAGGAGCCTGTGCCCAGCAGATCTTGGCTGGTTGTCTCTGCTACTAAAACGCTGACACAATATCCCTTCCATGAGCGAGTGAACCATGTACGCAGAGACTAGCTGGGGGTGAGAGATGTGGCACCTTGGCCTACCCAATCCTTGGCCTCTGGTATTTTTTCTAGCACGGACACCCCTGTCCACTGGGAACTGGACTGAGCTGCTCGCTCATTTCACCCGAGCCAATAAATGGTACCCACCGAGGCTGAATTTGAATCCATGACCTAGAAGCAAAAGGCTCCATGTCCCCATCCAGTCTGCTCTCCTCCCACAGCTCCCCAGCCGCATTGCCTGGCTTTAAAAGGCTGTTGTCAGGTAGCTCTAAAGGCACAATAAAGGGAACCAGGTCCATGCCTCTGCTCTCTTTCTTCAGGCGAGAAGGGCTCCCCTGGGGCAATGGGGAAGGCTGGACCCAAAGGAGACAAAGGTAACTTCAATGGGACTCTTTGGGGGAGGATGGGATGCAGGACTGGGCCCCTTGGGAAACCTCACAGCTCTATCCCCTGGCTGCACCCTGCTAACTCTCTTGACATGTCTGGACTCCTGCCTGCAAACTGGTCTGAGTGCTGCATTCCCTGGGCTTATCACCTTCCCCTCCTCTGCTCTGGAGAAGAGACATTGCCACTACCCCCCTGGGAAGAAGGACTCAACGGCTGGGAATGAAAGCCTGGCCTCACAGAGGTCCAACATGGCTGCCAGCACCCCCTGCAAGGCCCTTTCACCACCGCGAGGTGACAGTTGAGAGCCACGCTTCTCCAGAGCGTGTGGCAACCTCTGCCCTCTCATTACTGCCCAGCTGCCACATGCACCCATCTTACCAATGGCTCTCTCTCTCTTCCCTCAGGAGAAACCAGCAGTTCTGCCAGCTCTCAGCAGCAAGGTACATGCCTTCCTCAGCCTCAAACCCTACCCTCGCGCACCAACACGGCTGCGAACACACAGATGCCACAGGCCGTCCATGGGGATCAAACCCGGGACCTCCCACACCAAAAGCACAGACTGCTACCTCCCCAGCTACAGGAGTAACTCCATCAGCTGCAATTTAATAGCATATAGTGAAGCCACCAAGTGAGAGTCCGGCCTCCCCCAAACAACATCCCCACCAAACACAGCTGCCCTGGCTAAGGCCATTTTCCTTCCTTTTCTCTTGCATCAGTTTACTCCTCCAGAGACCCAGAGCATCGTTAAACCCCAATTAAGGCCCCTCAAATGCATTTACCATCAGCTCCAGCATGAAACAGCCAGGCAGCAGCTAGTTCATTCCTCACCCCACCCTCACCACCTGCAGTTCTGATTTCACCCTCCGGTGTTTATTCAGTCCAGCTGGAGAGAACCCCCCCCAGCTGAATCACCGCCAGGGCCAGCTCCGAGTTTTCGCTGGGCACCTGCCTTTTCTGTGAAAAGAGCTGCTTCGGGGACACCAAAGGGTTTCCAGAATTTTTGCTTCAGTCAAAAACAAAACACCCCCCGACAAAACATGTCATTTTGACCCTTTCTAAATGAACGCCTGGATTTTTCGGTTCACACTGACTTCTGTGTCTCCAGATTTCCTTTCCTTTTATTCAGGACAGCCAAACGTTTAAAAAGGGTCAACCTCTAAACACAGGACCAACTGCGGCCTCAACAACGTGGCAGCAAATCCAAACCAACCTTCTGTTCCACCCAATCCGAAAACTTCTTTGACTTTTCAATTTGCCAAAAAGCTCCAGAAATTTTTCATTTTCAGCCAGTGAACAGGGAAAATATTTGCCCGGCACTGAGAGTCCCTAACCGGTGTGTGTTTATCGCTCAGCCTGCAGATGGCTGTGAAGGCCAATGTCATTCATTCTTCCCACTGCTCGGGGTAGGCAGTAGGTACCACATAAGATCCTTCAGTGGGGAGACAGCTGTTTGATGTTCACGGAGATCATCTGAAGGAGACTCACTGGGAGACCCCCGCCGCAGCTTCAGCAGCCAGTTTGGGCCCTGCCCAGCTCCCCGTGTCATCCAAGACAGAGTGGCTGGTGCTCTGGGACCCCCATCCCAACCCCTGTGTCGGATTGAACATTCCTAACTGCCTTGTCCATAACGAACTGACCCAGCTGGTGTTTCCCCCAAGGGACAGGTGCCAGGAACTGCAAGGAGCTGCTGGAGCAGGGAGAGGGGCTGAGCGGCTGGTACCCCGTCCACCCCCAACCGGGGAGGACGCTGACCGTCTTCTGTGACATGGAAACGGATGGCGGGGGCTGGCTGGTGAGTCCTTCTACTGACGGGGGCAAGTAGGCCAGGGAGGAGAGGATGCTGGAGGAAATACACCATTGCACAGAGTGGGTCTGTGGCCCTTCTACTGGCCAGTCCACATGCCAGGTTGAAGACTCTGCTGCAGGTCCCGGTTAGGGGAGTTCAGGCCAGACTTTCAGATGCGCTCGTCTCCCACGTAAGCACCAGGTAGCCAGTCTTTCCAAAGAGCTCAGCACCTTGGCTGTTGTGGGGGGCTGAGACTCCCCGGAGTCCCCACCAGAGCCCAGGCCACGTTCTTTATAACGTCCTCCCGCTGTTTGTAGCGCACAAGGGGCTCTCCAGACAGAACAGACAAGGCAGGCCCTTTTCTCTCTCTTTCCCTTGACAGGGAGGGAAATCAGAAAGCAGAAATAAGGGCCGTCTCTTCAGCAGTCTTTCTGTAGCCAGCCTTTTGGGGCTGTCTTTAGTTAGGGTCTCACTCCAGCCTGGGGCACCCTGTTTGACAGCTGGTCACTGCAGGGGCAGTGAGGCCAGAGACTGTCTCCCGCTTGGCTGATCTGTCTGCGTGGTCAGCACTCTCAGGGGCATAGCAGTGTTCGCCCTGTTCACCGCCCCTTCCAGGGCCCTGTTTTCCCTTTCTAAGCTCCCACCCGCCCCCTCCAGGCAGAGCAACCCTTACAGATGTGCCTCCTTAAGGGCTGAACAAGCCCAGGAGAGCTCATTAGTCTCCTCTCCCCCAGTGCAAGGGTGTGCTCCCTGGCCCCCATCCCAGCTACCCAGGGCTTTGAAACTCTGCCTGTCAGCGATGCTACAGGAGCAGTGGGGTGCTAGTCCTTTGCCTCTAGCCCTGTGCCTGTCGTGAGGGAGGTCTAGGGGTTGATTCCTGCTGGTGCTCCTTGGCAGTAGGCACCACATAAGATCCTTCAGTGGGGAGACAGCTGTTTGGTGTTTACTGAGATCAGCTGAAGGATGGATATTGGACCCGCTGGGAGACACCGCCCCCCACACACAGCGGCAGGATTGGGTCCTGCCCAGCTCCCCGTGTCATGCCTGCATTGCACGCAGGGCTCGCTGAGTTTGGGCGTGACTTGCCTCTTGCCTTCCAGGCATTCCAGCGGCGACAGGATGGGTCGGTGGATTTCTATCAGGGCTGGGAGGCCTACAAGAGAGGGTTTGGAAACCAAGCATCGGAGTTCTGGCTGGGCAACGACAACATCCACCTTCTCACCTGCTCCGGTAAGGAGACTTCTCACCACCCAGCTGAGAAGGGAGCAGTCACAGGGAGAGAGCAAGGGAAGGCTGGACTGAGGCGTAAAATCACTGACTTTAAAGAGCTACCCCAGATCTACCCACGCATAGCAGGGATCAGAATCTGGCCCTGGGAGTTAACACCGAGGAAAGACTTTTCCTTATCAGCTTTGAAACCAACCCATCGCTGCTGCCCACGCAGCCAGTTCAGTTTGGCTCTAAGAGTAAACACAGCACGTACCCTTCTGAGCGCGCCCCTCCTCCTGGGACAGGCAGCTAACTAATCACCCTCTGGAAAGAAGAGAAGTCCAGCCTGCAGCAGCCAGAGGCCAAACGGCCATTTGTAGGGCTGGACAGCTTGTCTGCCCCAGAGTCTAAAGGGCCAGCTAGCCGCAGAGCATGCTGGGGTGGGTTCCTAGAAAAGGGTAAACCCCAAACAGAGCTCGGTGTTACCTGGTGAGCTCCAAAAGGAGACGGCTCAGAGCTGGCGTGATCATGGTGTCATCATGAAAGTCCAGACCCCTTTCAGACATTGGGTGCTTCCTGGGCTTAGTTCCCCACCTTGGCATCACAGCCCCTAGCCCCTCCTGTACAGCGCCCTAAGGCACCAGCCCAGGGGAGATTCCCACCTCCATTTCCTCCGTGGTTTCCCATTCTTGTGTCTCCTGGCTGCCCCAACCCCCAGGGGGACTGCATCTTCTTGCCGTGAGCATAGCTCCCGCTCCCACGTTGTGGGAGGAAAAGGTGTTGGTCTTGGGCCATGGCCGCTCTCTCCAGCAATGCCGGGACCTTGATGCCTTGCTGTCCTTTTGGCCTCAGGGACCTACCAGCTGCGGATTGATGCCAGGGACTTCAATGAGTCCAGCACATTTGCCAAGTACACCAGCTTCAAGATGCTGAGCGAAAAGGAAAACTACACGCTTGCCTTGGGCTCCTACTTGGATGGCACCATGGGTGAGTTGCCAAGTGACTTCCACTCAGGCCTGCCTGCTGCTGCAGGGTGATCGGGGGCCAGCTAGCGGGCACCCCCTTTGCTATTACATTCTTCGGCCCCTCCTGAGCAGAGACTGGCAGCTGTGCCGCAGTGTTTCAGCTCGCTCTCGTGGCTTTACCCTCTATTGCAGAGTGGAGGCCCTCAGACCAGTGGCCTCTCCAGTGGCTGAGCCCAGATCTTCAGACGGGGAAGGCTTAGTTCCATGAGGCTAGCTTGTCACCAAGGGGCAGCCGAGGATCTGTCCCCGAGCCTGCAGTCTCCCCAGGACCCTCTGTCAGAGCAAGGGTAACAGAGCAAGTCACAGAAAAATCAAAGCAGCCGCCCCACCGGACCGTGTGAGAGGAGCAGTGAGAGTTGGCAGGCAGAAGGGGCTGTTACAGGACAGAGGTGCATTTGCAGGGCTGGATGGGGAAGCCCAGCCCTGGAGAACAGGAGGAGGGTATGTGCAGGTCAGGTTCCCATTAGCAAAGCTGGGTGGTGGAACTGCTGTCTCTGGATCCTGTCAGTGCCCTCACTGCCCCTCGCCTCCATGACCGTTTGCGAAACTTTACAAACTTGACAAAGTCGAGGAAGCAGCGTCAGTTTCTCACGGTTATGGAGGGTCCGCCTGCACATGCAGTGCGGCTGCAGCTGCTGGGGCTGGCCTCCCGATACTGCCCCGCCGGGGGTCCTGGATACGTACTCGGGCGGCTAGCCACGCGACTACTTCTACTGTACCACCTCGAGCAAAGCTAGTGTACCCCTCCCTGCGCCAGGAATCACGGTGCGCAGCTGCTGTGCAGACGTCCTCTAAGAGTTTGTAAGCCACTGACTGGATTTCTCGGTCACAAGGATAACTGGCTGGGGGAGACGCCTCGAGTGGGGATAGGCTGCTGGGGTTATCACATAGGAAAGCCGCCACCGGTGGTTCCCAAGGGGTGGATAAAATACCAGCTGTGCGAGGCTGGGAGGCAGGGCTAGGATTCCTCAGCCCTCCATTGTGACTTTGTGTCAGCACTGATGAAGGGCCCCAGCCTGCCCCCACCAGAGCCCCTGCACGTCCACACATCAGGTCCAGCCGGGGCGGTGTCTGCAAGAGCATCCCCCCTCCCACCTGCATGTCCACAGTGCTTCAGCCCTGGCCTGGAGGGACCAGCTCTAGGAGTGGAAAGGCAGCCCAGTGTCCATGGGCCGCTCAGGCCTTGGCTTCTCTGCTGCGAGTTTCCGACTAGAACTGGTGGAGGAAGGGGAATTTCTTGGCGACTTTATCTGGAAAACGTAGCAAAATTCATCTAGTAAATGTATTGAGCCAGTACTAGTTCCAGCAAGGGTGTGAGTGGGGCTGGGGGCTCTAGTGGTGTATGGGCACCGCCTGTCTCCTGTGACCCACCAAACTCATTTCACACCAGACAGCCAGGGGAAGGACTAGGGCCTTATTCTCCATGGTCCCTGCACCTTGGGTCCGCACTTACACCAAAACACTGCAAGATCAGACCAGTGTGAGCCTTTGCACAAGTGTAAATGACTGTGCAAGGTGGGAATCAGGGCCCCATACGTGATACTTCCTACTAAGGACTAATAATAGGTAAAGAGACATGGGCTGGATTTGAACCAGTGACCTAGAGGCAAGACTCTTTGTTACGACTCCAGCTAGGGAAAGCCTTTGCCCTCATGCGAAGGCCGTGAGTTTGGCATGGAATGAAGATGCCGCAGGCCAAGCCCTGTGTATATTTGCCTTCTTCCCCTTACAGGAGATTCTCTCTCGGGACACAACAAGCTGGGCTTCTCCACACGGGATAAAGACCATGACACCTTTGGGGGCAGCTGTGCCACCCTCTACAAAGGCGGCTGGTGGTATGGGCAGTGCCACTCCTCGAACCTCAACGGGCTGTACCTCAAAGGTGAACACAGCTCCTACGCCAACGGGATCAACTGGTCCACCGGGAAGGGGCACCACTACTCTTACAAATACGTGGACATGAAAATAAGGCCCCAGTAGGCCGCCTCTCTCTCTGGGGACTGGGCTGATGCTACAGGGAACCTTCCCCAGGGACCTACTGACAGCTGAAGACCCCTTTTGCAGGGCTAGTAAACTGGGAACTTGCCATTAGCTGTGGTACTGCAGACTGCAATTCAGTCTCCTCTCCAGACATTAGCCCTGCAGGTGGTGTCCCCCCAGGGGCTAAAGCAGGAGCACCCCCCGAGCTCCTTCTTTTCCTTGGCTGGCCCAATGAGAGCGCTACCTACTTAAACCCCTGCTTGTCCTGCTATAGGAAAGATGAGCTGGGAGTCAGGACTTCTGGACACTTTTCCCACTGACCTGCTGTCTGACCCTGGGACAAGTTGCTGCCCCTCCCTGCCTCAGTTTCCCCCGGCTCTAAAATGTAGGTGAGACTACTGGCCCATCTCACAGCTCAATATAATTTGCAAAGGGCTCTGAGATCCTAGAGTGGGGGTTGCTACAGAAATGCAAAGTGTTACTTTATTGAACGCTGGCCAAGCAGCAGAGAAATTGCCTGTGACTTGAGCTGTACTCGGGCTGAATGCCAAGCTACTGCAGCAAAGGCCCTTTTGATGAGCCCACACTGGTATTTTACTGTCTCAATTAGCCAGTTTTCAGCAGGGCTTGGCCTCCACAATGGGGGTCAGATTTTCAAGAGACCTCTGTGCAAAGTCTGGCCCTACGAATTGCAGAGGGAGCGGCTGACATCTCGAGGGTCTGGCCCCTTTGGAGGGTGCTCAGAGCTTGAGAATTTACCCAGTCAGCCTGCACCCCACAGTGATTTGCGGGTAGCTTTGTATTTCTCTTTTCTTATTCTTTGGAAAAATAAAGTGCCTATAATGTTTAGAACACGTTTTCACCCAAAGCTTTATTCAGTCCCTCAGCACAAGTTTTTGGGATTGAGACTCAACATGGTTTACATTACGGAAGGCTGCACGTTGTCTCTATGCGGCACTGCTCAGGCCAGGAAAAAAAAGGAGAGCGATGAAAGCCTTTTCCAGACTCGCTGGTTTCTAGGGTCCCGAACGCAGAATGGGCGAGAAATCTCCCTAGAGAAGCTCTCGTTGTAAGCACCCTTGTCATAAATATAAAGGGAAGGGTAAACACCTTTAAAATCCCTCCTCGCCAGAGGAAAAATTCTTTCACCTGTAAAGGGTTAAGAAGCTAGGATAACCTCGCTGGCACCTGACCAAAATGACCAATAAGGAGACAAGATACTTTCAAAAGCTGGGAGGAGGGAGAAAAACAAAGGGTCTCTCTCTGTCTGGGTGATGCTTTTGCTGGGGATAGAACAGTAATGGAGTCTTAGAACTTAGTAAGTAATCTAGCTAGATATGCGTTAGATTATGATTTCTTTAAATGGCTGAGAAATTAAGTTGTGCTGAATAGAATGGATATTCCTGTCTGTGTGTCCTTTAGTAACTTAAGGTTTTGCCTAGAGGGATTCTCTATGTTTTGAATCTAATTACCCTGTAAGGTATTTACTATCTTGATTTTTACAGAGGAGATTCTTTTTGCTTCTCTTAAAATCCTTCTTTTCAGAACCTGAATGCTTTTTCATTGTTCTTAAGATCCAAGGGTTTGGGTCTGTGGCCACCTATGCAAATTGGTGAGGATTTTTACCAAACCTTCCCCAGGAAGTGGGGTGCAAGGGTTGGGAGATTTTGGGGGGAAAGACGTTTCCAAACAACGCTTTCCTAATAAAAATAAACACAGAGAAACGTTTGGTGGTGGCAGTGAAAGTCCAAGGGCAAAGGGTAAAATAGTTTGTACCTTGGGGAAGTTTTAACCTAAGCTGGTAAAAGTAAGCTTAGGAGGTTTTCATGCAGGTCCCCACATCTGTACCCTAGAGTTCAGAGTGGGGAAGGAACCTTGACAACCCTCAATGCACCCCCAGAATAAGAATGAAAGGGTGAAGTCCATTGAACGGGCTCTGTCTTAAACCCCAACCGCATCTCAGATCATTCTGCGAGAGAAAATGTTTGATTGCAACCCGCAGGCGTCACATCATTCATTGTAGCGTTTAGGAGCCCAAGCCATGCCCCACGACCCCGTTGGGCCAGGCGCTGTACAAACAGCAAAAAGACAGTCCCTGTCCCCAGGGGTTTACAATCTAAGTTTAAGACAAGAGACAGCAGAGGGGAGGGGAGGCGTAAGTAAACAACGAGGCAATAGCTCTCATTAAGATTGCAGAGACTTTGGCGGGTTCATTGGGTAGCGTTCACGTACTGTATGCTTGCTACTTTCCTGACAACAGGTACAAACAAGGGGCCAGATTCTCATCTGCTAGAATGGTTTAACACCAGAGTTACAGCGGCGTAAACAACAGCAGTCTTGCCCACGACCCCTAGGCTTGGGAGTTTATCATTTGAAAGGAGAGGGATAGAGGAAGGGTGAGCTGCAACAAAAAAATGGCAGCTAATGCAGCAGTGATGTTTAACGTCTCTTAATAGCTCATCTATTTAAACAAGCTACGCTACATTGTTCGGAGATTGAGCTTCCCAGTCCTCATGCGAATCACTATCTGTTTTCTATGGAAACCAAACGAGTATTAAGGACCCTTGGAGCATTCACTCCTGTGGCAGCTCTGCCCTGTCTCATACAGGGCCTTGGGCAATCACTAGAACTGAAGACTTTGCAGGGAGTCGTACCGTAAACTCCAGCCTTCCCCAGCTGCCAGAGCTCCTCGTGTTTGGAGTGTGCACGAAAGCAGGTGGGGCACTTCTCAGAACATAGATACAGTCTCATTACGGACAGAGAAGACCCCGGAGAACTCCCAAGATGCTGGGGTTGTTGGCGCTTGCAGGTGAATGATTCATTTCTCTATCTAAACTGCACTCTGGTTTCTGAAGGCGAGTCATCAGCAGGGTTTATTTGGCGGGTGCTCCCATCAGAGCAAAGGCGGGGCTGCTGTCGCATTCATTGGCCACAGTGAAATGCCTCGGGTGTGGCTCTATGAGGTCTGCAGGATTGGGCTCCTGATCAGCCATGCCCTTTGGATGCTGAAGGGTCAGGACATGAACAGCTCAGTGGCCAGGCCAGAGAACAGGCACTCACACAGGCCGGAAGGGCCACCACTCCAGTTGTGAGGAGTTGGTCCACGTGGTCTTGCACTGAAACTCATGTAAGACCCTGTGCGTGGCTAGGGACTATAGGCACCGCTGTGTAGAGAACAAGGAATATTAGCCACTCCACTGCTAGTGACAGACAGGCAGGGAAATGATCCTGCCCTGGAGTAGCTACAAACAAAAAATTGCATCACCTTAAGGGCTGCATAGGTGCCCTCAGTAAGGGCCCAGGCTCATCAGTGGAGAGTGCGGAGGGGTAAACGGGGGGCATTGCCCCCCTAAACTATACGAGGCAGAGGCATTCACCTCCTACTTCCTCCCAGTGGGAGGGAGAGGTGATGCCAGGAGCTAGATACCCAGCCCCTGTGATGAAAGGGACACTGATCCGCAGGCACAAGGCACCTGGGGAGGAGTTGCTCCCCCCCAACCCTCTTGGTGGGGCACAGAGGAACTTGGGGGAGGGCGTGAGCGGGTTATACGGGGCACTTACCTGTCTGGTCAGTTTCCCTACATGGGCAGGGCTGTGTTGAAGGGGAGAACAGAAGAGCGGTGACCATTCCTTTTCAGTGAGCAGACTAGAGCCAGGCAGCTGCAGCTTCCCAAACCAGGCGAGTGCTCAGCTGCAAGTCCCAGCTGGGAGGGGGCTGGGGAGAGAGGGTTGCTGCTGGGCTGGGGGAGCTCTGAAGCTGGCTGTACTCCAGGGGAAGAAGCCTGGAGCACACCTTATTATTGCCAGGCAGCAGCTCCGTGCACTGTTTAGAGCACTATAGGAACCATGTAATTCAGGAAGCCATGGGCACGTCCTCTGTAACTCATGCTGCTGCTGGCGTGGTGAATGATGGACATACATCATGTGTTCAACATGACTATCCAGATTCCTGTCTGCAAAGGTTTTTTTAAATTTTTTCCTCTGTCTGTCCCTCACTCCCCAGCCCAGAACGGATTAAACCCCATAGCCACACTCTGTTCAGGCACTTTCTTCAGGGACTCTCCAAAGCTGCTTCCCCACCCTGCACTACCTGCCCCCATCACTCCATGGGGGAGGGTGGGGAAGGGTCATTGTGCAGGGAGCTGCCCTCCCCCCGTCCACCCAACCCACATGCATTCAGATGCCCCCCCCAGCACCCAGACTCACCCTGCTGTGCCCCAACGACCTTCATCTGGACCCCCCTCCCCACGGAGTCATAGAATATCAGGGTTGGAGGGAACCTCAGGAGGTCATCTAGTCCAACCCCCTGCTCAAAGCAGGACCAATCCCCAAATTGGCCCCAGATCCCTAAATGGCCCCCTCAAGGATTGAACTCACAACCCTGGGTCTAGCAGGCCAATGCTCAAACCACTGAGCTATCCCTCCCCCCCATTCCCATTCCTATTCCCATTCCCCCTGCACCCGGAATCCCCCAACAAGCCCCTATGCATCCAGATCTCCCCTCCTCTGGGCACCCCACCGAGCAGCCCACACCCGGATTGCCCAGGGGGCTGGGGTAGGTATAGCTCTGTTGCTCAGGCGTGTGGATTTTTCACACCCCTGAGCGAAGTAGCTATACCGCAGTAAATGGGTAGTGTAGACCTGGCCAAACACGCCTATTTATTTCAGGAGGAATTACATCAAACACCTTCATGCAGAAGTCAAACTACACCTATGCCCAGGCTCGGTATCAAGAGCCCAGCGGTAGCTTTCCCGACAGCCGGCGAGAGGGGAAAGGGGATTACTGCTTCTTGGACTTCCGTTTCTTGCCACAGATGAAGTTCTGGTGGGCAGAGTAGCCCATCTTGGAGCCAATCGACCCCCAGGCCATGCTGCCTGCTTTAGCCCCTAGAACGAACAAAGGCTAGGGAATAGCCAGCGCAGACCCCAGTCAATCCAGCGGTGGACCGGGAACAGATCCAACGCCTGCACTGTCCAGGAGAGAAGCCAGCCTGGACTGTCGATATATTAGGGAGAGTCAAAGGGTCCCAATCTGACCTCACCTGTTTCACGAGCGGGTGTCACGACTCCTGGCTTCTGTTCCTGGCTCCACTGTACAAGACCTGGGGCAAGTGACTGCCACTCTCTCTGCTTCCCCTCCCACCCTCTGCCTTGGCTATTTAGAACAGTAACTCCCTGGGCAGGGGTTCTCTCACTATACCGGTGCCACACGTAGCAAGAGGGGAGTTTGGTCTCAGTTGGGACCTCTAGTACTAAAAGCCCCCGCCCCAAGTGCCATGACTCCCAGCCCCCTGCTCTTTTTTACAAAACACCCCCCATCCTAGCGATCCAGAGGGAAAGAGGCAAATGAAAGGGGAATAAGCTCTTTAAAAGCCCACACTGGGTTTGAAGTGTTCCTTGCACAGGGCATGTCATAAATATAAAGGGAAGGCTAACCACCTTTAAATCCCTCCTGGCCAGAGGAAAAACCCTTTCACCTGTAAAGGGTTAAGAAGCTAGGATAACCTCACTGGCACCTGACCAAAACGACCAATGAGGAGACAAGATACTTTCAAAGCTGGAGGGGGGGAGAAACAAAGGCTCTCTCTGTCTGTGCGTTGCTTTTTGCCGGGATCAGAGTAGGAATGCAGGTCAGAACTCCTGTAAAGGGCTAATAAGCTATCTAGTGAGATATGCGTTAGATTCTGTTTTGTTTAAATGGCTGATAAAATAAGCTGTGCTGGATGGAATGTATATTCCTGTTTTTGTGTCTTTTGGTAACTTCAGGTTTTACCTAGAGGGATCCTCTATGTTTTGAATCTGATTACCCTGTAAGGTATTTACCATCCTGATTTTACAGAGGTGATTCTTTAACTTTTTCTTCAATTAAAAGTCTTCTTTTAAGAACCTGATTGCTTTTTCCTTGTTCTTAAGACCCAAGGGTTTGGGTCCATGTTCACCTATGCAAATTGGTGAGGATTTTTATCAAGCCTTCCCCCAGAAAGGGGGTGTAGGGTTTGGGAGGATTTGGGGGGGAAAAGACATTTCCAAGTGGGCTCTTTCCTTGTTCTATATTTGTTAGACGCTTGGTGGTGGCAGCAATAAAGTCCAAGGGCAAAAGGTAAAATAGTTTGTACCTTGGGGAAGTTTTAACCTAAGCTGGTAAAAATAAGCTTAGGAGGTTTTTCATGCAGGTCCCCACATCTGTACCCTAGAGTTCAGAGTGGGGAAGCAACCTTGACAGGGCACGTCCCACCTACCGAGGCTCTGGAGCGTGGCCACGACTCCCCCTGCAGGCACGCCACCTCCCGAACTTATGGCAGACCAACTCATCAACCAGGAACCCACGGACTTGGCTGCTATGCCGGTGGCCTGGAACCCCAATGCACCCACCAGGGCTGGTCCTCCGTACATCAGAGCAACTGGAGCAGAGAGACAGATTAGATCAGAGGCGTTTCTGTTTCAGCCCCCTTTCGAAGCCCAAACCGCCCTGCTCGAGTGAGGTGTTCACCACAGAGGAGGAAGGCCCTGTTTGGTTTACAGGGGGTCATATAGCACGTTAAGAACTGTCTGCAGCATTAGACTTCAGCTGCTCTCCCCTCCCATCCGTGCCTTGTGCTGTGAGAACTAACAAACTCAGCACATACACATGCTCACTCTGCTACAAAACCATCTACTATTACTCTGGGCTGTATGGATGGGACTGCTACAGAGTCATGCACCTTTTCCTCTGCCCCCTCCCTCCCACGCCCCCGGCCTCCATTGGGGAGGGGCATTAATAACTCACCTCCGCCCACGACCAGGTACGAGAGAGCATCTATTAATGTGCAGCCATCCTCCTCTTCATCATCTAAAGAGACGGGCAGAGAAACAGTTTGAGCATTACTGGGACTTCTGGGTTAGAGAGGACATGTGAGGGGGGGGCATTTGAGTTTTAATGTTTGCTTATTTTTGCACATCCAAAATAAGAAGGGATTCTGGCAGGGGGAGAGGGGCTTGTTTAGGCCACAGTCCTCCAGTTGGATCCATACACGGGAACACGGACATTCAAGCAGAGCCCCCAGTGACTTCTCTGGGAGCAGAGGGTAGTGCCTTAGATTATAAGCTATAAGAGGCAGGGGCCTTGTCTCTGTGTTTTCCTGGATGAAGCAGTGATCTGGGTGCTGACCCATCGGGCCTTCCAGCCAGAAAAGGCTACAGTTAAAGGTGGGCTCAGATCCTGTAACTCTTGTGCGTATTTATCACAACACAGCCTTTAATACCACAAATAACACAGTAGCGTACGACTCCCCCCTGGCCCCCTCCCAATCTTATCTTTGCGCCAATTCCCTCTGCTCAGGTTTCTGTACTTGCCACACTGGTCCAATCAAAGCCAGGTTTCTCTGGAACTCCCAGAGGTGCATCTAAGCGAGGGCTAGTTCCACCCCCAGGGCCCGATCCAACGCTCAGATCCGTGTGGGTGCAGCAATCCACTGGCAGGATCAGGTCCCAGAGTTCAGCATTTTATGCCCTAGGTTTCACGTATGGCACTGCTCTACAGAAAGCTCACAAGAGTATTTTCTCCACCCCTCTTCTTGTGCTCAGAAGGAGATGAGCTGTGATTCGTCACCAAAGAAAAACCATTTAAAAACCAACCAACCAAATGTTTGGGCAGAGGCCAGATCTGGAAAGTCTGAGGAAGCTGGGAGCTCCTGAGAAGAGAAGCCTTAACTAGAAACCTTAGTGCTACTAGGCCACTTATAAGACATCATGCAAGCCTATGAAGCTATAGCGATGATAGTGGCTAGCATACAAGCATCCATCGTGCACACATGGGAGTTTAGGAGTCTGCAGGGAAGAGAGCAAGGCCTGCCCAGGCCATGGGGACTCACCCCTAGGGTAGGGAATGGCAGATTGCAACAAATTGCAAGCTTCCTCTGCCGCCCATGGCAAGGAGAAAGCAGATGCGTGCAGTCACCAGCGCTGTCTGTCGACGTAGCGCCTGGCCCCAGCACGGATTTTGATCTGGGGGGGCAATGGAAATCGGGGGCAAAGCAGATTTTGATTTGGGGGGGCAATGGAAATAAGCAAAAATAAATATACCTATAAACTTGTCAGCAGAGCCACTGGACAGAACCAGACACACCAGGAGGAGAAGCTGGGATTGCCACCACATGGCACCCGAGTGGGGTTTTCTTCCTGATAGGCACCTGCAGGTATAAAAGGGACACCATCCCTCTGCCCTGCTACCATTCCACTGCCTGCAGGTCAATTGGGAGAGGGAGGGGTGTGCACGCACCATTGCCCTCTGCTGAAGATGACAGGTAAACTCTAACCTTCCCCAAAGGGTCCCCAGCCCCTCACCTCTCAGAAGGGTATTCCACAGAAGATACCACAAACACACTGGAAGAACAAGCTGTCCATTCCCCAGGATTTGGGGCTGTACCCCTTTCAGGAGGCTGATTTGTCTTGCGTACCCCAGGTTTCACCTCACTTAAAAACTACTTGCTTATAAAATCAGACATAAAAATACAGAAGAGTCACAGCCACTCTGTTACTGACAAATTGCTGACTTTCATTTTTACCATATAATTATAAAATAAATCGATTGGAATACAAATATTGTATGTACATTTCAGTGTGATACTGTTTGTCATGCGTGAGTCTTGTCTGAAGCCTGAGCCCCAGGGCTGAAGCACGTAACTTAGCTTCACGGGGTCCCCTGTGGCATGGAATGTGGGGCAACTGCCCTGCTTATCACCCCCTAATGCCAGCCCTGCACTTGCAACTCCCCTAAACCTGTCCCGTGACCCCCCTTGGGGGCTGCATCTCCCCCAGTTGAGAAACATTGATCGAGATGATTGAGTGCCCCCTGGAATACCTCTTGAGTACCCCAGGGGCACCCACGCCCCGGTTGAGAACCACTGATCTAGCCTCCAGCACATTGCAGGCAACAGAACCTCACCCACCTACCCCTTTAATGGACCAGATCCCCCAACCTCTGGCTGTGCTATGGAATTCCTCAAATCATGATTTAAAAACTTCAAGTTTCAGAGAATCCACCATTTATTCAAGTTTGAACCGGCAAGTGACCCATGCCCCATGCTGCAGAGGAAGGCAAAACAAAAAACAAAAACAAAACCCCAGATCTCTGCCAACCTGCCCCAGGGGAAAATTCCTTCCCAACCCCAAATGTCACTTCTACGAGTTTAAAATCCTAAATTCTCTGCTCAGCCCACAGTCTCTCTCTCCAGCTCAATGCGATTACCTTGCATTTACCCCGTTACTAAGCAGAGAGCTTGCGCCTCCTTCTTACCTTGCACAGCTGTACCCAGTAGAGCCGAGGACAAGCCACCACCTCCCTGCAGATAAGGGGCAGAGCTGCTACAGGACACAAGCCAGCCAGCTGCCCCTTTTTATCCCTATCCCTTTGCTCCACCCAAGCTGGGATGGTCCCCTGTGCAATTCACCTGCTCGTACCCTGGGGCTGTCTCATTTCTCCTAGTTTGATTTCTCTCATCGACAGGCTCTGCTAGAAGCACAGAAATGAGTCTAGGAAACTGAAACTTAAGCTTAAAGGGACCTCACGCATTTAAAAAGCACACGTCTACTTACAAACATTTTACCTCCTATGGTACAAGCCACGGTCACTAGCACTGGGCGAGAACATCTCCTCCTTACCCCCCCTTACTTCCAGTTTGTTCCCTTTGGACCTGGCAGCTTCCACTTCCCCCTTTCGCACCTGATCCTGCAAACTTTTACCCTCGCACATCAGTGCATGACAGTCTGTCCGTCCCCCAGAACTGGACACCCTAACAACTGTTGGGGTGGAGGCTCCAGCCACAGCTACTCGAATGGCTGCAAAAGCTGCCTCCCAACTCAGCAGTGGGAGCTGCCCCTCCAGCCCCAGTGCTGGCAGCTGGGAGCGTCCCTTCTCCAAACCAGCAGCAGCATTTGGCCGTCTCTGCAGACAAACTTCTGGGGGGACCTGCAGTTGGGGGGGGGGAATCATTGTAATACTTGTAAACAGCGTAGGGTGACCAGACAAAATCGGGATGGGGTGGGGGTAATAGGAGCCTATATAAGAAAAAGACCCAAAAATCAGGACTGCCCCTATAAAATCGGGACATCTGGTCACCCTAAACCAGCATCCGCGTGATATGGCGTCGCTGGGGTGATGCACAGTCAGCCTGTCGCGCTGTCTCTGCAGGCTACGGCCCCTCTACGGCGTGCGCCTGCCCGGCCCTGCCCGCTGCGCTCAGGGCCCGGGGTGAGGGGAGGAGCTCGGGGCTCCTCCAGCCCCAGGGCAGCGGCGCGGAGAGGAGAGATGCCCCGGCCCCAGGGCTGCAGCGAGGCCCGATGTCTCTCCCCCAGCCCCAGCCCCAGCCCCAGCCCCAAGGCTGCAGCGGGGCCCGATGTCTGTCCCTCCACAAGCCCCGGGGCTGCAGCAGGGCCCAATGTCTCTCCCCCGGCCCCAGCCCTGGGGCTGCAGCGGGGCCAGATGTCTCTCCCCAGGCTCCAGCCCCGGGCTCGCAGGGCGATGTCTCTCCCCCACAAACCCCGGGCTCGGGGGCAGATGTCTCTCCCCGCCCCAGCCCTGGGCTCCGGCCAGATGTCTCTCCCCCGGCCCCAGCCCTGGGGCTGCAGCGGGGCCAGATGTCTCTCCCCCCCCCAGCCCCGGGGCTGCGGCGGGGCCAGATGTCTCTCCCCCGGCCCCAGCCCTGGGGCTGCAGCGGGGCCAGATGTCTCTCCCCCGGCCCCAGCCCTGGGGCTGCAGCGGGGCCAGATGTCTCTCCCCCGGCCCCAGCCCCGGGGCTGCAGCGGGGCCAGATGTCTCTCCCCCGGCCCCAGCCCTGGGGCTGCAGCGGGGCCAGATGTCTCTCCCCCCACAAGCCCCGGGGCTGCAGGGGGCCAGATGTCTGTCCCCCGGCCCCGGGGCTACAGGGGGGTCCGATGTCTCTCCCCAGGCTCCAGCCCCGGGGCTGCAGCGGGGCCAGATGTCTCTCCCCCCACAAGCCCTGGGGCTGCAGGGGGCCAGATGTCTCTCCCCGCACAACCCTGAGACTACAGCAGGGCCAGATGCCTCCGCCCCCCCAACCCTGGGGCTGTGGCGGGGGGGGGAGAGAGAACTCCCCCAGCCCTGGGGCTGCTGCAGCTAGGGAGAGAGCTGGGGGGAGTCCTCTCTCTCCAACTGGGAATTGGTCCTGCTTCGAGCAGGGGGTTGGACTAGATGACCTTCTGGGGTCCCTTCCAACCCTGATATTCTATGATTCTATGATTCTCTCCCAGCCGCAGCCCCGAGCAGCCTGCACCCCAAACCCCTTATCCCTGGCCCCACCCCAGAGCCCGCACCCCCAGCCAGAGCCCTCGCCCTCTGCACCCCAGCCCAAACCCCTTGGCCCCACCCCCACCACAAATCACCTCCATGTTGGTGCACATAACAGCATTCATTCCACACACGGATGGGAAAAATTAGAGGGAACATTGTCTGCAGGGTCACTTTAACTAATGGCTTTTCTTTTCCTCAGGCATCAGATGACAGTATTGACCCAGGTGCCTTTTGTCCACTGCTGAGCTGGGGAAGAAAGACAAGGTGGGTGGCGGGGGGGAATCTTTTATTGGACCTGGCTGTCTGTTGATGAGAGAGACCAGCTTTTGAGCTTATTCAGAACTCTGGGAAAGGTACTCAGGGGGTGTCAGCTCCATAAAAGGCAGAACTAGAAGTAGCTAACTCCTATTTCAAGGGACCATTCAAGGTGAAGTGGCCAGTTAACCCCTCTACAGTCATAGGACAACATTATGAATTTAAGCTCCCATTCATAACTTCTCTAGTCATTAAAAATCATGGATTTAAAGTCACTGGATTTATGG